CTCCCCAATTGAGCACGCACCTCCAGTTAAGTCTGTATAAGTTTGAGCTATAACAGCAACATCAGAGAGAGTAATCTGGGATGGATATACCTTAACTTGAATTTCAAGCCTATGTCTTTCGCTTGCCTAAGGTTAAGGTAAGAAAAAGAGAGAGCTACTGGACACTACGGGGACTGTAAGCGATCTAACAGAACTGGCTTGTTGAACGGAACTCAGACTCAGACTAGAGATATCAAATGACCTAGGGGACTGGACCTCTAGATGTAGCACTGGATGTAAGAAAAAACTCGACTGCCAAAGCAGCACTTAGCACTCCAATTATTAGAAATAGACTAGTAAGAGACTCAAATGTAACCTAAAACAAAAATGGGACCCCTAGGAGGGGCAACTTCCACTCTTTTTGTCACTTTTTCCATTCTCGTTTACTTTACGAAGCGAGGGAGATCAAAAGGTATGCCAATTTTCTCGAGGAGAGGAATTACTAGCTCGCAGGCTTCAAAATGATAACCTCCTTCCTTGCCCTCGAACCTACTATCCAACGACATGGAAGACTTAGCATTGGCCTATCACTCGAATTCCATTTTATAGCACGCCAACAGGAGGGGGCTTCTTACAAAAGCACTCCAAGAACTCGCTTGAACTTTCAGAGAGAAGCAACTACTACTTCTCCATCAAAGGAAAAAGAAGCATCGACTAAATAGAAGGCCCTTGAATCTTATCGTTAGCCTATAGCGCTATCTACCCTTAAGACTGACTTAAGGGATGTAACAGAAGTCTCAAGAGAACTAACAATCGATGGACTGGAAGGGCGAGAGAGAGAAGAGCAAAGAGAACTCAATCTAGAATTTCCACTCCTTCTAAAACCCCAAGTACGGCATTAGCAATTGAAGAGCTTAGTTAGGATGGGTGGAACTACAACCCCTCGAACTGGCTCGATAAAGTCTGGGAGATTAGATAAGCTGGCTAGGGATTTTGAGATTCCTTTTTTACTGAAAATGTACCGAAGGCAACTGCCATTTAAACTAGAACTATATAGCTTTATATAGAGGCCGCAGGGAACTCCCCCTGGACCGCCATAGAATCAAGGGCTATCAGAGTCCAGGAAATGCATGGCAGGGAACTTCTATAGGCACCTTCCTAAGCAACTGATCTAACTTCCACTGCTTATCTATAGTCTTCCACGTCCATAGGATTCCACGGCTTAGCCATAGGAAAGAACAGGTTATGCATACGAAAGTACTCTTTAGGGAAAGGGATCAAAGAAAGCTGGTGCCTCGTCAGAAAGACTTGGTTCGTAGAGTGGAGGCCATTCCCCAAGATATTGGTTTTAAGCTCCTCTCCTTAGAGTCAAGTGGCTTTCCGCTCCTGCGGATGACTTTTTGTCTTACGACACGGCATGGTAATTGATTGAGTGCGCTTTCCTTTCTCAATGGCACAGCAAAAGCACCATATTTCGGGTTTGGATATCATAGGAAATGGGGCACTATAGAAAGGTTTTCCAAGTGAACACCCGATGCTACGTCAAAAGCATGAATTTTAGCTGTCGAATGAAACTACTAAATACTAAATGTAGGAATTCCAACTGGAAAATTCACGAACCAAGGTTCCGCGTATCACGTTTTTTCAAGAAGATTGGGACTCTCAGGGAATAGAGCCAATCGTAGTAGTATATACCCTATCCATATAAGGCATCTTCCGGGCCAGAGGCCCCCCTTCTCTTGAGGTAGCATTTCAAAAATGAGTTGAACTGGAATCATCTGTTTAGGCACCTGCTTCAAATGGAGCTTTCAGAAAGCCCTTCGCTAAGGGCGAAGGTTTTTCTATGCTACATGCCCTAGGTCTGACCGCCTACCTTTTGTTTTGACTTTTCTTTAGTCAGGAATGGCTTTTTCTTTAGCGGAAATGGTCGGAACCAAGCAACTAGTCCCCCGGGACTTGAAAAAGAGGTTTCAACTATCAATCGTTGCCCTTATGTTGAGGAGATTTGGAAGCACTTGCTGAATACCCTCCTAGCCAGGGGATCCCCCTTGCCCTTGCAAGATGAGGCCGAGTAGGTGATGCACCATTATCCGGGGCATGGTCTCATTAGCTCTATTACGAAACTGCTTTTTTTTGGAAAACCATATATAATACTTGGAGGGAGCGAAATGCCCGGATTTTCAAGCAATCTTATAAAGCCGCAAGGGAGCTTTTTTACCAGATTTACGCATAAAGAAAAGGTAGGATTTCAGCTTCCAAGTTGAAGTACTCTAATTCGACCCGTGACCAGCAGATATTAGCCAGAAAGGGCTCCTTCCCCTTCTTGCTGCCATAGAAGCATGAAAAAATGGAGTTTTCCTGTAACCATTCTGAAACCAAGAAAGCCTTTATTTCTGCCTATAGAATGATTCTTCCACGACTCTCGCTTGGGTTCTAACTTCAAACTTCATAGGAGTTCTGACCCACTTGACTTTTTGGTCTGGCCAATTCGAGTGGTAAACGCGGCTTCCAAAGAGGTGGGTAAATAAAATAGGACCGAAAGGGAGGTCTCATTTTCGCATTTGATCCTGGAAGAAGGGAAAGCAAGTATGCCCGCTTACCCTCACTGACAAAGGTAAAAAAGGATGAGGAGCAAAGACACATAGATTGGTGTTTTGCATGAGGAGATTGTTCTTACTCTTTTCGAATCATCATCAGAGGAGAGAGAAAAGCACCCTTTCCACTCGTTGAGAACGATTGCCTATAGTCCGCCTTTCATTCGATCATGCAAGAAGAGAATCACTTTTTGGTACCGAAAACAAAGGTTCGAAATCCCAGTTGAGGCAAAGGTATTGAAGAGCAGATAGACCCGGAAGATTCCAACCTTCTAGATGGAGCCAGGTTAGGTCACTTCGATCGCTTAAGCCCTTACTGCGGTAGAGTAGGACGCTTTAGTTGGCAAGGTTATATGGTCTATAATTCTGCCACCTGTGAAAGAAAGGTTGCCAAAGATGTTATGAATGGCATTTCCACCGATTGAGGAGAAAGAGCCAGCCGTAGTCCCACTAATCTAATGTAATAAAGGCCAATGGAACATGCTTATACTCGGTCAGGAGGGAATTAGGCTCTCTCATTGCTTCTTTCATTCCATCTCCGCTCCTCTTCATCAAGTTCTACAAGACTTGAAGACATGTGCCTAAGGAAAGCGATTGAGCAAAGAAGGTTCACAATGCAATTGAGCTAAAGTGGGAAAAAAAGATCCCACTTTCACAAACTATGCTTGATCACAGGGGACTTTGACTATGGATACATGACCCTTTAGACTTGATATTAATGAACCAAAGCTGTACAACCTTGTTCAGTTACTTTCAACAATCTCTTATCTTCTATTAGCATTAGCTGGCAGAAGCACTACAGACTGAGAATGGAATAATGTTGCATTGAGATGCTGGCTCTTGACCAGATGGAGTAGTTAAATAGAAATATATTCCTCGCCCTAGAAATAGCCCGCTCTAAAAAGAAGTAGTCCGTTGCCCAGGGAGGGGTTCATTTGGTAGATTAGTCCTATGGATGGGTCGCCATGTGGTCTCCTTTTGGGATTGCTCGGTTATCAGTCGAGGAGACTGTCCCTTTCTTAAGTGATTATGCGCTTTTCGGTTTACATAAGTATTCACTTTCGGGAGAAGTTGGGGGAAGAGTGCATTTCCATCGCGAAAGATTCAATCCAGCCACAGGTTCCCCTACGGCTACCTTGTTACGACTTCACCCCAGTCGAAGACCCCTTCCTTCGTAGATCTCCGGATTTCACCCCGACCCAAGAATTTTTTTAATATAGGGAGACTCGCGCCCGCGTGCTGCAAGATCGAGTTTGACTTGCTCAATGAACTCGATCTCCTTTCTGTCTTTCTCTACCGGGCCCCATTCGGGGTTTTTGTCTAGCGCGTCTCGCTTCTCGGAAAAGAAATCCAGAAAGTCCTCGGTAGCAACCATAATCCAAGCGGGCCCAATGAGAAGAGACCCGCCCTCCCACTCTCTCTCATTTATTCAGCGAAAAAAACTACATAACGGGGGCCCTTCCGTTCAGAGGTAGCGAATCGACTTTCTTATGTCTTCTGGGGGGATCCCTTGCATGACCAAGTCCAAAGTGGAACATACTTCGATAGTCAATATGCAAAAAAGAGTAATGAATTCTCATTCTTTCCAATTCCAATTTGTAATATTAAATTTTAGCCTTTGTGCGCAACTCGCGCATTTCCCCTCTTCATTTAAAGCAGCAAGCATCCTTTTGAGATCTTCCAAGGAAGACTCCCGATCTTTTTGCCGTCCACAAAAGAATTTCTCTCGAATGACTTTTGTCAAATCCCATTCATCGTTGGGATAAAGAGATTTCATTTTTTCGATTATTTCATTTTTTAATGAAAAGTGGTTAATAGCTATATCCCTTAACCGTGCTTGCTGCTCCGCGTTGAACTCGTTTAGTGGCTTTCGAATGGAGTCTTCCCTAATTACGTCATAAAGTTCTTCCTTAGGAAGTCGATTTATTAGAGAAGCCATTTCGTTCTGCTCAAGTTCAACGTTGAAAAAATCAGAGTCTTGAATTAGAACCCGTTGTTCATATAGTATGTCGGGAAGCTCATTTAGATTTGGAAGAGACGCTTCCCCCCTTTCTAGCGGCGTTCCTGGGGGGCCTAAGCGAAATTCCAGATCTAATGAGTTGTCAGCGCATTCTGCCAGTTGCATCAACCCTGCGAAATTCATAGACAAGCAAACAATACACGGGAAAATGGTCCAAGTTTTCTCAATCTTAGGTACCCATGAATTTAAAAATTTTTTATAGCAGAAATGACATAAAGTGCGACCCAAGATCCATGATACGAAAACCAAAATCAGAATAACGAAGAAAAAGACATCATGATGTAAGTCTATTCTTCCTTGCATCATATCTGCGAACACGAACATCAAACAGGAAATTTTGACTAAGAGTGAGTGTACAACAAGACCAATCATTTTGTTTGGTTCATTCTTTGACTGCTCTGCTCCCCCCAAACAAAAAGAGAGACTTGTAGGAAATCGCCGGTGGTTGGTCCGGAAAGGCATGGGACTTTTGGGCATGGTAACTAAACACTTAGTTAGCGTTAGCTTTTTTTTTATTTCGCCAACTCAGGTGTTTTATTTATATACGATATTATCGTGCCACCTCACAGGTGTAAGCGCTATAGTACAGTGTTGACTGGTGTGCTTTGGTGTAACCGGGGGGCTGGAACCAAAGAAAGACTGTACCCGGCGTCCCTTCCTCTCATCAGGCAGCTATCTCGAGCTCATTGAAGACTAACTTTCTTCTTTTTCTTTTCTAATCGTCGAAATTATCTCAATTGTGCCCCCGCTGCCATTGGAGCACTCTCTGATACGTGTTCTGGAATTCTCCAATTCAGTGGAGTGGGGCTTACCTTGAAGCGGATTCCAATGTCATAGCTTTTGCCTTCCCTCCTCGCTCTGTTTTTATTCGGAACCCAGTTTCACCACTCTATCTCACTATGGCCACCCTGCTGGAGAAGATTACTGGACCACTTTCTCCCGTATTACTACCTTGTTTTGTTGTGCCAAAAGGAAGTAAAAGCGTACTTTGCTGCTAATCTGCTAGCCATCTAGCAGTATTTCCTATTTTTTGACTTACTTCTTTCTCTTTCTGTTTTTGGGTTTTTTTCCTGTGATGTGTACCTCTGTCTTTGAAGAAAGAGAGGAGGGGGACTAGTTTAGGAGTCTAATTTTTGAGATTCATTCATTCAGAAGGGTGTATGATAAGAAAAAGTAGTCTTACTTGTTGCAGAAAGAAAAGTAGCATTTTACAAACTGCTTTGATTCATTAAGATGAAAACTTCACACAGGAAGTGTATGTCACGTATATTTCTTAGTCTATTATTTATGAGTTTTATGGGCCTCCATGTCTTTGTCTGTGTGTGGTTTCTGAGCTAGGAGCGCTTGGAATTTAAGTCCTACTCATTAATATACTATCAAAAAAAGTGGCTCTCCTTCTCTTATGAGAGATAGGCGCTCTCTCTACGGCCAATTCTCTTTAACAAAAAAGGCATTCCCTGATCGTAGACCATCCTTTATCCTTTCTTATCTTGACTTTCTAAGTGAAGTCCTTTCATGCGCGAGGAACTGTCTGAAAGTGAAAGGCATCATTGGTAGGCGCAGTGAATCGGCAATCGGGCAATTCGTTAAACGATATCCGTATAATGAATACCTTTTCTAAAGCCATACCGCGAATCTCTTGTCTTCTGGTAAAGGGTCGGAATCAGTCCACAAATGACTTACTTCTTCAAATTAGATCCCTTCCATCGGTCGCATCTGCCCTGTCTCAATCGGTCGAGCTGTATCGGTCAACTATAGGAAACTGACCAATAGCTCTTCTTTCTTTTGGTAAAGGTTAACGGTCCTGTTCAAGCATTGGTGCATAACGGGAGGCTAGCTCAGTATATTACCTTTCCTGTAGTTCTTTAATTTAGGAGTTTCTGATTTTAGGATAGTAGCTTCGGTCGATAGGGTAAGCGCTCATTTCGTTCTTGCTTGCTTTCATTCTGTTATGAGAGAGAGCTGCTATACGTCTATTCTCTTTAGACAAATGACTGTCCGCTGGAAAATACAGAGTAGGATTCATCCGTGTGGTGAATGAAAGAACATTCATTGAATGAGTTGACGCTAAACCTCCTGCTCTTTAAGAGAGTCAAGGCTGTATGCATTACTGGATTAATTAGAATTAATAGTAATAGAAACTAGGGTCCACGTAGACTATTCAGAGGAGGTATGCTAATCAATGATCTACTGATGTAGCTAGTGTTACTGAAGCTTTTGCTAGATATGCTATTGGCTTAACTGGCTCTAAACCCTCCCACCGGATAAAGGAATGGAATTTCAAGTACAAGTAGTCGTCTACACTTAAAAGCTTTCTTGTCTTCACTGATCAACATTTAGTTTGGCCTAAGATTTTCTAAGTCCGACGCATCACTTACTTTTCGTCATCGTGGGTCCATAACCATTTTACTACCTATTTATGTGGTTGATATCTTGATCACTGGCATAATCACTCAGCCCTTGAGGATGCAGCTTCTACGGATTGAGGTTATTCCCCGCTAGAATGGGCCAGGTGGGATGGGGGAGCGGTCGAGCGTGCAAAGGCGCAAGTCGAGCAAGGTATCTGAACTGAAATGTAAAAAAGCGTGCAAAAGAAAAGGTCGGCTTTTCTTTTTGCTAACGATTCCAAAGATTCTATCATCGAACATCGAATTCTTGGCGGGTCTTTCCTTGATCCCTTCCTTGCCTCATCTCCCTAATCTCTCCTATAAATAACAAGGCCCTTGCGCAGGTGGTTAGCAACCGAAGACAAGATTCGAGGGGCGTTCAGCCACTTGACTCTAAGGAGAGGGGCTGTTGCTGCAGTTTCGCCGCTTGCATTGCAATTCTCGCACGTTTTTAGGGCGGATAAGAGGTACTTTTCAGCATAAGAGCACGGTAGTCACGCCTCCCATCTCATTCTCTGGTCACGTATTCGTCCTATCTGTTCTAGTTCTCGCTCATGGATGCTTCTGTTCGCGCTTAGTCGATTTTCAAGGAAAGATGCAAGAAGACTCTACAGGCGCTGGAGTGAAGTGATCCCCACCCGGGAATCACGAACGGAGCTGTCCTTCTTCTCTAAAAGTAAGGGACTAGGGCTCTCAAGTCAGCCTTTCTCTAAGGCTAAATAGCTAAATATCCCTGCTCATGAAAGTGAAGATTTTGATGTCCACACGGCCGAAGGATCCAATAGTGAATTCTTCTTTTCTTTACTCAATGCTGAAGCTGGTTCTGAAGGATCAAATAGGTCATGGCTTGGGGAGTCATTGAAACCAAGACTTTCGGTTTAGTGTATATTAAAAAGAACAGAGGAAGGAGCCTAGCCTATCCTATATAGTAGAGTATTAGGCCTAACTCACAGGAAGATCTAAAGGCTATTAAATAGTCGCCTAAGCAGACGATGGACGAGACTCTGGAAGAGTGGCTTTCTGCTGAGGTTGCTTCTGACGGGCTTGTGAACAATTCGGTAAAAACCCCTAGTGAAAACTATCTATGTATAGTATAACCGCCGCTTCAAATCAATTGAATCAATGCAAGCAATGCTGTTCCCACATGCCTATTCATTCATATTTGGTTGGATTCCTCGGTTCATCTTATGCCAACGATGGAATAGCCTCTTTTTCTAGCTATTACTTTCCTTCATTCAGGTATGGGGGCAGGGAATACGAAGGTCGAGTAGGCTTCGTCGGTTTGAGAAGGTGAACGACGAATCCGAGTGATCGAAGGTTCAAGTACTGAGCGAATATTCAAACGTCTATTCATGTGAGAACTTCTTGCCCCTTTGGTTGACACCACCTTAGCCTTAGTCAGTAAGGGAGGGGGGTGACTATTAGATAGGGACTCCGGAAGTTCATGGGAAGAGGTTAGTGGAAGAGATCATCTTTCCGGGGTTGGAGTCACCGAAGTGGACGATAGGCAAGAGAAGACAGAGGAGTGGACCTGACAAGCATAAGATTCATTCAATAGCCAAGCAGGAGAGTATGCACCACTCCGAAGTACTAATAACTAAGTTGAAAAGAGAGCGGGGCAGGCCATAGACGAAAGTGAACTATAGACTACTTACCAAAGACCATAGGCAATGGACGAAAGACCAGCAGAAGGGCATTAGTCGCCGAGGAAGCTAGTGCGCGTAGATCAAAGCTTAGTGGAGAGACCATACATAGGAAAGTTACAAGGACAGGTTATCAACAGGGGTCGATGGCAGGTTCGATTACGGAGAAGTAAATAATCAAAGATTATGCGGAGGGTCCAGCAGTCACAAATAACCCAAGCAGAAGGGTCAAGCCTATTTGAATTTGTTATTGGAAAATGAGGAGGAAGACATCTGTCATGGAGAGGCAATCCTCAAATACGTACTTTGACCTGACGGCTTACCCGTTCTATAAGAGAACGGTTCAACTGGTTAGGCGGTCTGGCGCATTATTCACTGCGCTTTATTTAAAGCAGTGTGCGTCATCCGGGGTGATAAAAAAGAACCATACCCTGTTGACAGTGTCCCTGTCCCTTAATCATCAGGCTACCCTCGGATTCTTCCCTCCAGATATTAATGAGGTGGGCGGGAAGGATAGAGCCCAACTTATTATATACGGATACGGATATTCCTTGTCATTCTAATCTTGATATAGTTCCAACAGGCCTATTCTTTGACTCTCCTATAGTGTATAGTATATTCTTTCCATCTTCCTACTAGGATAGATATTCTAACAACAAACTACCTAGCTTAGCTAGTTGGCAGCTCCGCATCGTGAACTGCATCGGAAAGGGCATCCGATCTCTCTTTTATGGGCTGTTTCCCTCGTATCTGACCTATCCGAGTTAGCCCTCCCAAGCGGACAAAGAGGTGGATCATCTGATCTTGAAATAGGTCATCCCGGCTATCCCGATCTTTTATCTGTTCATTTCGTCAGGTATCTGAATCATACGATTCTGAGGATTCTGCTTTTCACATTCATTCTACAGGACCAAAACGAGGCCTTTCCTCGCTAGTTGGAATAAAAACCTCAACAGCAGCCTTCATTGAACCCCTTCTTCCTATCCTTGCTACCTATGAAACGAGTCCCTCTTTCATTCACTAAAGAAGACGCAGCTGATAGATGGATGAATATACATTTGATGGCCAGTTCTATGAAGAAAAATCTCGAGTTGGAGGCATCGCTGGGAAAAAAGCCAATTGATTCGGTTTTCTCGAAATCAACGAGTGGACTTGAAATCATAGATCCATTTTGTGATCCACGCGACTCAGACAAGAATCCTATATCTTACCCACCCAGTGCTGTTCTGATTGAATTTCAAAGATCTCGCTCGCTGTCAAAGCGCATTTTGTGAAGTGTTCTCCTGCCCCTGTCACCTGAGATAAAGTCAACTGGAAACCGTGATCGGAGTCGTGGTTTGAAGATGATGATTTGAAGATTCATTCGACAGAGAAGGGTGTCTTGGTTGCCGATACCGAGGTTGAATGAATCATTCCACCTGGCAACAGCAAAAGTGGAGTTTGGCACAGGTCAAAGGGGAAAGCAAGGAGGAATTCCACTTTGGAAAGGAAAAGGGCAGTTCCAAACGAAGGACCCAGTCTCAAGGGGCAAGCTTCCCGGTGTCCAAGTGTCAAGTCCCGAGGGCTTGTGTCCGCCGAAAGCTTCCTTTTTTCTTTTTAGTCTTTCCTTGCAATGAACCGAAAGGTGAGAGGCAGGGCTCGGTCTCAAGGTTTAATTTAAAGTCACTAGTCAGTCCAACTGCACGAGTGAAAGGCGAAAGTAAAGATTACGTGCAACCAGGTGTAACGTGTCAAAGGTCACCGAGTCGTCGTAAAGGGGAATAGGTTGTTTTGCGCATCCAACAACTGAAAGAGTTTGCGGAGAAGGGTTGAGTTGCGTAATAGCGGATTCGTAGGTCAATAAATCGTTGGATTTGAAATCGAACTCTCTACCTTGGGCGGATAGGAATTGAGACTTTCAATGGTCCGCTCTTCTCTCCTCGTGATCGAAGCTGACCCCAGAAGTTGGGTATTCCTTCTTAAGAGGACACTAACCCTCCCGATCTTGCTAGCCGGGGGCTCAGTCTTTCAAGATTCAATCTTTCCCCTTCCGGTCCCAGGGAATCGCTCTTATAGTAGGAGGTTTACTATGTCCCCAACTTCTCTTTATTAAGAAAGTCGGTTGTCTACTATAATTAGATTAAGATCGTAAAAACATAAGCTTGTAATATAGCTAGACCAAATTCAATAAATGGAGTCCGGTAATAACATTATGAAACTGAACCCATATGGCAGAAAGCAGAAGCAGCGGGTACGTCTGTTCGGGTTCATTCATGTCCAATAAACTTCAAACAAAAGGAGATTCGGGTATCAGAGTTGAGTGGACAGGCGACGGGAGGATGGGGGGAAGAGTAAAGACAAGACGAAAGCAAGAGTTCCGGCATCTTACTTTACTAGTTTCATTTCCGTATGATAGTCACCCCTTTCTCGGTAAAGCAGAGTGAGCAGCTTCTTTCTTTGCTACTGCTGCCATACCACAAAGAAGTCCAATAGCTGCGCTTACTTCTTCCTTCAACCCTGAAAAGAGCATATGCATCCCGGGATTCTCTCCATCTCAGAAGTGGATTCCCCTGCAAGGGTACTTGAGTACGACTACGGCTATGAAAAGCTTATCGAAAGAGGAGGAAAGAGCGTAAACTCGACTCTAAAAGTTTCAGTTGCCTCCCTCTCTCCGCCCTATAACTGAAAAAAAGGAGCACGGCGAAAAGCCAACCTGATTTTTTTTTATTCGTTTGACGAGGGAAGACCTTAAGTACTGAATTAATTTAATTACACCTATATCGCGAAAAAGAGCTGCTCTAGCTTTAGCGCGCACCCTTTCTCCTATGAGGAAAGTGACTCTTTCCGATTCATGTCTGGCCCTTCCTGGATCTGGATCACAGTATACCGGCGACTTTGTCCTTGAATTCATTCTATTTCATATCCACCGATCCGTGGAAGAGACCAAGGAAGAGTAAGATAGATTTAGGGCCGGCAGGCGGGTCTAGAATAGATTCCCCAACGGGTCCTGACTTTTCAACAACAGAGGCGAAAACTTACTCTTTCAAGTCAAAGTCAAAGTCGGGTAGACTAAGATGGAGTTTATTTTACAGTTGTTCCAGGGATATGGGTATAGAGTGAATTCTATTCACTCTTTATGAAGTTCCGTGCACTCCTTATATCATAAAGAAAAAAGTCAGTATGGTGCCCCGGTAGACGCGCAGACCGAGTGAGTTTCCGCCGATCCCGATCCAGATGTGCCAAAGATTGAGGACTATGAGGGTACGGTGCTATCCTTGTACTTTGTTTGTTGCACATGGCCTAATGTACACTTGCCCCCTTTTTCTCACTCTTTTGGTGGTTTGTCAATTTGAATCTATTTTCTTTATGCTACCGAAAGACGGAAAGGGGAACCGACTCGTTCCTTCCTTGCGGAGGACGAATCAAGGCCTGAAGTTGGTTCGTCGAGCAAGAGGAGAGAAGGATCAACAAGGATTTCATACCCTATGCTAGTTCTTTTTCTCTCTCCCCCAGATATGCCTTTAATAAGTCCTCCACCTATTCTCGTGTGACGACATCTATGATTGTGAAATTCAGGAATGAACAGTTGCAACAATCATGTTCAATTTCTTTTGACAGTTTTAGATTGTGGTGCTTTGTAATCAAGGGCGAGAAGGAAGTTCATGGAAAGGTAGCTCACATACCTTTCCAGGCCTAATTCTTTAATAATCACTTCAGCTCTTTCATACTTCTGACGTCGACTCATCTTGCTTGGAAGTCTTAAGAATGCAGCAAAAACTAAGGGTTCCTCTACAGTCAATTGTGGAAAAAGCACATCATCTTGTGTCACGAAACCCACCTAGCACAACATTGCTCAATTCGGTATGGAAGTTAATACAAAATCATGTACATTGAAAGAAAGACTTTTCTATATTCTTGGTTTTAAGGCAATAGAAAGAGAGAAGGAAAAAAGAATTATTGATGGATAGGTAATATACCTCCTATTGATAGCTGTATTATATGGGATGTCATTGTATGTGACAGTTCCTCTGACATTTTCTTGCAATCTTCCTCCCAATATCTTTAACAAGGTTGTTTTCCCACTGCCAGAAGGCCCCATTAAGGCAAGAATTTCACCCTTCCTGTTATACCCTTGAGTATCTGCTTGTAATTGTCATGCTCAAACTGGGAAGCTACCTTTGATACAACTGCCTTGACAGGATTGTTGGAGGAAGCTTGGCTAATCTTCACCTTGTACTCAACATCCGCGAACTGCATTCAAAGACCATTTAAATGGCAGAAGCCAAAACTCTGAAACATATATCAACAATTTGATTCTTTGAAACATTTCTGAGAAATGAAAGATTGGTTAGAGAAAAAAAAAGTACCTTGAGAAATATGGGGAGGGGTTGATCTTTATCAGCAATTGATGTATCATCCTCTACCTCTATATCAATTTCAGAGCTTCTGTTTCTGAGGTAAGCTTGAGACATGAACTCTATGTTATGGCCAAAGCCATTGCTTCCAGCAATCTGCATGGAGCCAACAGCTGGAGGGGACAATGACAAATCCTCAATTTCATCTTGTCTAAGATGCTCCATTGTGTCATGAACTGCAAGTTAAGCGTTGCTCTATCCTGTTTAATGGTGTTGGACAAAGTTCATTGTTATATATGGTGGATAAGATAGACATAACCAAAACTCTGCCTAAATCTTGAAACTGTTGAGCCACATGCTTTCTATGGGAAACTATAGACTCTTTCTAATTGTGAATTTCTAGTTATCACACGCACTTGGTGCGCTTGACTTTCTTCAAAATTCTTTTTTAACCAAGTGTTCAAATGACACTGTTTGGGGTATTCTAACTCAGCAACGACGTACTAGCTGTTAATACATAATTAACTAAATCAAAGTGTTCCCTCTCTGATATCTAAGTTTTTTAGATGAGACGGTTCACACAATTCACCATAGTAGAGCAGGCAGAGGTCCAGGATTCGAGTCTTGCCGCCACTTATTAACAGTGGAGGTAGGAGATCCAGTTAACGAAAAGGCTAGGCTGCAGCTATTCAAGCATCTCAAAGTCTATCTATAACGATTGCTATTTCATATCGGAGCTTCTGCTAAAGGAAGTGGTGATCCCTAGCTTGAGACTCAAACTCCGGAAGCCGACCTGCCAACAGACATTGTGGGAGAATACTCTTCACCATCATCAGAAAATGTTGCTTAGCGGCAACCTTGAAATAGGGTCAAGTTTGACTGCATCAAGCTCTAAAGCCGGGTATTCTGAGCCAGCTCGAAGCCTTATAGCTAGATCAAAGACTGCCGTAAGTTGCATCTTGAGTCTTAAGAATTGGGTCCCTTAGCCCCTGGATTGGTGCGCAAGCAAAAGAAGAACAAAAAAGAGGGGCCTCTGGCTTATTAAGAAGCATATAAACGACATACTAAGCAGAAGCGCGTAGACGAAGGGAGAGGGGCTTTTTCGAAAGGCTAGAAACTTATACGTATATAGATATAGTGAGTGTGCGTGCGGGGTGTAGGTATACCACTTACGAGAAAGAACCCCAAGTCAGTAAAGTAGTTAACCAAACACAAGTAAGAAGTTCGTCAGTCCTTCCTCCGATGCCTCCCGTTCATTCTTCTTCATTTCATCATTTTGTTGTGTTGTTCTGTTCATAGGTCCCAAGCCCTTCTTAGAAAGCCCTCTTCCCTCTCCTTAAGTTAAGAAAAAAAGAATGCTGCTTGATTGAACGAACATTGTAAGAACCTTTCTAACTGACACCCCAGTCATAATGCCACCCACGTCTTTTTTTCTTTTGAACAAGCCTTCTAAATCCATATTTTTTTTATTTGAGTTCATAATAACTGGCGGGTTTCATTAATGAAAAGAAAAGCGGAGGCCCGCCATCTGCTAGCATTGTGGTTTTCCATCGATTCTTTATCAATGGCCCACCCTTTCTTTGAACCTTGTCAATGATCGAACTTAAAGATATGAACTGAGTGCCATTTGATGAGTAACTGAGAACAAAGGAGAGGGATATGGAAAGAATGAAGTAATGAAAGAGGAAGTCATTGCTAGTAGTAACGACTTGTCACGATCCATTGGTTCATATAGAATCCATGTCCTAGGTGTATCAAAAAACATTCTTTTCGCTAAGCGTATATAATAAAATAGAGTGAAAAGGTCCACCCCGAAACCAAGGGGGTACTAACTAACAGCTGAGTCCTCTCCGAACCGCAGGAGATAGTTGCCCATCATACGGCTCACCAACTTCACTTGCCTCTATGGGAGGCTCGCTCCGGGCAGGTTCGGATCACTTACAATACACGGGCTCTACGAAGGAAGGGGTTGGGTTAGGAGCGTTTTCAATATGATTCTTTTCCTGTATTTGTTCGATGAGAAATGCGAGTCTGTTTTGTCCA